ATGGTCTGAGAGCACACTACAGATAACATGCATGAAGGAGGTCTCGTGAAAGACAATGTAGGGAGCAGTGGCTCTTCCATTAAATTAATTCCGATTTCCAGATGTCCATAGTTAAATATTCCTAGCTAGTTCTGCAAAACGATCATCTTGACAGTCCCTTCCAACAGTTCTAGATTCCCATTCTTGATTTTTACTGGGCTCCCTTTATGATGTGTACTGTGATGCACTTTGACAATGGGTAGCTTCTCAGAACAGCCGAGAATATTCTCCTCTGTGAGGGGCTTCCCCCAAACTACTGAATGTATGACTCTTCGATAAGCAGGGAAACTTTAGGGATCAAAAATTCAGGAAAGAAAAAAAAAATTCAGGAAAGTACTCTCAGACATCAGGACTAGATATCATGGTTTAAATGGCTACTTCCTTTTTATGCTTTTTTTTTTTTTTTAAGATTTTATTTGACAGAGACAGTGAGAGAGGGAATACAAGCAGGGGGAGTAGGAGAAGGAGAAGTAGGCTTCTGGCTGAGCAGGGAGCCAGATGCGGGGCTCTATCCCAGGACCCTGGGATCGGGACCTGAGCCGAAGGCAGACACTTAACAACTGAGCCACTGAGGCACACTTCCTTTTATGCTTTTTGGACAGAAATGGACGACTTGCCTTCTAGGTCATAGGTAATTTTTTAAACAATGGGTAGAAAAGTATAACTTCTGAGTTTTTTTTCTACAAAACTTACTGAGTTCATATAAAACATGAAGACATCAAGGCTTGTAAGAAAGGCTTTCCAGTTTTTTCCTTTTTATTAGACTTCACATGAACGACCAGGAGCTCCTGAATACGATGTTAAGGTTGGAGTGATTCATAGGATTTTTTACAAGACCCTCAGACTTGGCGGTCTTTGCTCTACAGGATCGCAACCTGCTGGGTTAGCATATGGAAGAGAGCTAGCTCCAGTCATTAAACAAATAGGCATGGCATGCCGAGGTTTGTTTAAAAAGCATGACTTTGCCCGTATGCTTGAAGATTTCAGTATGTTCCAGAGCTCTAATATGGGCTTTTCCTTGTAATTCTTCTCAATTCATAACTCATTCAAACAAATGTTTTTCAGGCATCTGCTGTGTACCCAGCCCGCCTCTGGGCACTGGATTTTTAGTAGTGAAGACAATTGCCCATATCACCTCGTCTGCGGAGCTTGCATTCTCTAAGGGTGGACAGAGAAGAAACCAAGCAATGAATACATGTAGTATGCTTGCAGAACTCCCCAGTGTAGCGGAGACACGGACACAGGAATTGGATTACCAAACCATGTGGAAAGGGTGACGATAAACCCAAAGTCCTCTGCTAGTGCCAAAGACACAGCGCACTCTGGAGAGTGGAGAGGATGGATGGGAAGGCTTTCTGGTAGAACACCCAGACTGAGTCTTACCAATAGCTAAGGGATGGCAGGAAAACATGGGGGAGTAGGGGTAGAAGAAAATAGTCTCAACCTGACGTGATGGAGTTATGCAGGTGATCAACAGAAAACGGGCCATATGTTTGTGCGGCGACCAGCACCTTGGTATTACTGTAACTTGGAAGGGAGGCAAGGCAGTGACGCCTGCCAGTGAATGACATTAAGGAGCATGGTCTCTATACAGCAGAGAGGTTGGGGAAGGAGAGATTTAAGACAGGAGAGTGATGGTATCATCACTTGTTCTTTGCCCTTCTGGAGCACTGTGAGGAGCTGGAGCTACAAAGATACCTAAGACCCTGTGGGTCTCTGATCTGAAGGTATTCCTTCTGCCCTGCCCAGTTTTTTGGTCTACCTTCTTGTTCTGCTCTAGACCTGCTCAGCCTGATCCACACTCAATATTCCTCTCCGCTTAGAGCCGGCGGGGATGGGGGTGGGGTGTTCCTGTGTCCCGGCCTCATCCTTTGACCCAGCTCAAGATCCAGGGTGGAGGAGAACGAACTTACTCCCTAATTCCTTGGTAAGATTCATGTTTTAGCTTTAGTTTGAAAATCATTCTATCATCTGGGACCCGTGGTCCTTTGCTTCATGGCACTAGAAAACTTTGACTTTGAAGACCTTCGGAAAAGACCTGATTCTCTCCCACTGTTTAAAGCCTTCAAACAAATCCATCCTTAAAAGGAAAATTCGAATCAAGCCAGTTTTTAACGTGTGAACCACACCAATCTATGTGCAAAATTCTGAGACCCGTGCGTGCATGTTAGAACCACCACTCTCTTCTGCATAAAAAAATCTACAATTAATTTTACGAAGTGGCTCTATTTGTTTTCCTTCAGCTGGCATTCTGTGGGTCTTTTCATTGCAGTATCTCTCTGTACCTAGTTCCAGCCCTTCTCTGCTGGTTTATTGTCTTTGTCTTTCCATTTCTTCTGTTGCTTGCTAAAAGCATGTACCCCTAAGGCTTTTTAATTTTATTCCCCTTTATTTCTCTCGCAGTCCTCCCTTTACTATTCATATAATAAATATTGTAAATACTATTCATATTCAAAGAGTAAAACCCTTGTTTTTTGTTTTTTTTTCCAGTTTATTTGAGAGAGAGCACACACAGGAGTGTGTAAGGGGCAGAGGGAGAGAATTTTGAAGCAGACTCCCTCCTGAGCATGAAGCCTGACGCAGAGCTCCATCTCACCATCCAGGAGATCATGACCTGAGCTGAAACCAAGAGTCAGATGCTCAACCGACTGAGGCACCCAGGTTGCCCAAAACCCATCTTTTTCCTAACACTATGGTCCCACTTTCTGTGTACCTTGTATCCGTTCACAAGCATTATTTTTATGGATCTGCAATCAAAAATTAATTTTATGTATTTCTTCCCAAATTATTAACCTTTAGCATAACGACAACGTAATTAATATGATCTTCATTGTATTCTAGGTTACTGTGTCACAACTTATTTCCCTATTGTTGAACATTTAGGTTGTTCCCAATTTTTCACTACTAAAATGTTGCCAGTGCACCTTTGGGCAAAGAGTGTTTCTCTTCTCATGAACTATGGTATGCCCTTAGGCTAGGTTCACAAGAGGAGGATTATTGATATAAAGGTACAAATCTTTATGATCTTTGATTTGGTGAGTTGGCATAACACAAGCAAAATGTATCAAAGTGTAACTGATACATATTCTTGACCTGGTGTGTGGTAAATTAAATCACAGACATAACATCTGCAGACTGCTTGCTCATTCTGCATTTACTCCGTAGGAAGATCAGGTCACGGTTTTGATTATGTCCCTTCATTTTTAATCAACCTCTCCTCTTAAATCTTAGGGGCTCATGATACCAACTTCGAAGGCTGAAGATCACATGACAAAGAACTAACCACACAGACTGATTAAGATGAGAATATACTAGTGCCATTTTCAGCTTATAACATTTGTCAATATCATTTAATCTTGAGAAGATGAATTCATTTAAAAAGGCATTTGCAAGCAAAATAATTATATTTTATTGAAAATTCAGAAGAGTTACAGTACTTTAAGACAGTTTTTTTCCATGGTGTAAAGAAAAATAACTTAAAAAGAATTGACTCAAGTACAATGATTTTTAGTTTTCAAACTCACAAAATCATTTTGAAAAACACAAAAATCCACAGCTTAATTTATTCACGGTATAAGCATTTACTTTCCTAACTGTTATCAATAAAACGCTAATGGAATCATTTTGGGAGTGATCTTTCAACAATCATTTTTCGGTCCCAGTTTAAATGGTATGTTAATATCAGTATCCAATTCACATGGATTACTGGTGTGTGTGTGTGTGTGTGTGTGTGTGTGGGTGTGTACGCATGCATAAGAACTAGCTAATTTTAATATGGCATTTCAAGAATGAGAATAAGTCGTCATTTCATTTATCATAGGGTAATAGCACTTCCAGTCATTTCTTCAGCATGTTTTCTCATCTCCTAGGTGAAAACCAACCACTTTTATTAAGGCGTTTAGCTGAGTAAGCACTAGGGGCATAAAGAAGATTATCCATAATAGTGCCAAAGTCTTAACTATTATAGTCAGCCATTTAGTGTCAGGAAGGTTCTTGTTACACCTTTTAGATCGAAGTTCTCAGATTTTCTTACGAAGGGGAACCTAGTTCAGCTGAAATGAACAAGACACACTCATTTAAAGAAAAACAAAACTCATTTTACATGATCAATGGTCTGTGTATTTACCAAATTGTATTCCTCAACAGAAAATACCCATTGGGCCACCCATCTGCTGCAGCTAGATGTGGCCCTAATGCGGAACTTTAATTCACAGTCCCATTAATATTTTTATAGTGCTTTGCAGGTAGACAGCTTTCCTGTAACTATTCTGAAAATACTGAATGAAATTCGGCCCTATTAGGAAATTTACAACATGCACATTGCATAAAATGCTTATAAAAACATTCAGTGCGTTGCCTACATGAGAGGCAAAAATGGTTTTAAGAAAGGAGAATCCAGCAAGGAGAGAATTAAAACATCACGTGGCACTGGCTGATCCCGTATCCTTTTTTAGTCGATAACATCATACAAATTGGTCTTTCACCAAGGAAAAACCCTAGTTCTTATTTAATTGTGGAGAGATCTGACCAGGTGGGGAAAAGAAGATCCTCTGATAAAAAAAAAATTCGAGAACCAGTGTTTTGACAAGTTGACTCAAACTGGTGACACGGTTTTGAAGGTCAGGGACTAATGATAACTGACTTAGGACAGAGGTCAGCAGAGGTCAATGAAGCTTTCCTTTCCCTCCCCCATGTCAGTGGTAGAAAAGGCTCTCAGGCACCCGATCCACTTTCAAAGAAGAGGGCTCTTGATGGTGCCAGATGAAACACAGCAGTCGTCCGAGCCATAATGTAACGGACCAAGATACCAGACACAAAGTTTGACAGGTGCAATCGTTCTCATTTTTCCAGGCCCCAAAATAAAAGCAACAGCTGGCCCCATCAAAATATCTTCTCCCAAAATCTTTAAAAAAAGTTGTGACTCATTAAAACTAAATTTTTCAGAGGAAAAATATTGCCACTGATTTTTTTCCCCAAATAAAATACATCATCAAAAACCCTTAAGTAAGGGCGCATTTATGCTTTACACCTAAACAGCTTCTTGTTAAGGATTAAGACTAGTCTCTACCGGTTTTAGCCCCTACTTTCACCATTTCCACTTTTCCCTGGTATTTAAAGTGTCGATGAGTAAGGGGACTAAGTACCGGCTGTGGATGCGGCACCCGCGGCATAAGGAAGCCTGGCTGATGGTGCGCTCAATGTTTCGTTCATGCTCAATCTCGAATTTATTTATTGCTAGGATCAACTATTCAGAATTTATTGAATTTGATGAATTAATAAGGAAAATAAACAGGTCAAAGTATAAAAATAAAATTTCACGCACAGACTAGAAATATCTGAGGACAGCTGACAAAACAATAGTGCTTTCTATTAAATAATGGTTTTCAAGTCATTTTATACCAGGTTACACATTTAAAAAAATCCTAATTTATTCTTAGAAACACGATTATATCACAGTTTCAATGATGATTACTCTTCCTATAACTTCTTCCACATTCTCTCAGTATGACTAAAAGCTCAATAGAACAGATTTGGTATAAAAGTATCACAAACAATTATTGGTGACATCTAATGTAAATGTTTAAAAAAAGTTTGATTCTTATGAATTTGTACAAAAATAAAGCTTCTGATATTTTGTTAGAATTGTATCTGATGACTCATTAATGATGCAAAGCAAAAAATACTTAAACTAAGTTAACATTTACATATAAAAATATAGAATACATACACTACAGTGATCTTGATGATATATTACAAATTAAGAGTCCCATCAGCCTGATTAAAAAGTTCAACATCTTTGAAAGTATGAGTTTTTTAAAAAGTCAAGATTCTTCATGTTTTAAAAGTAAAATTTTTTCATTTTTCAAGTCAACTGAGCCTGTTTTGGTTAATAACCGGGCTTGACGAATCTGGGGCAATAAAAGGCATTTCTTTGGAAGAAACCTGGAGTGTCTCAAGATTTAGTAATCTATCACTGCCTTGATTTTTCCTCAGCATACATTTCTTTATAGTCTTTTTTTTTATTCTGCCCATTCAGATCAGTAAAAGGCCACAGGGCTGGAAGGAATACACAAATCCTGTATTTTGTCAGATACCTATGTTCTGCTATTGAGAAAGACGGTGTATACAAAACCCAAAGAGGGAGGAACTAATACGGAGAGTCCGAGCCAGAGAGTACTGGGTACCTTCTACCAGCCAGCAGTTAAACCAGCATGTGGTTTCTCTTTAAAAAACAAAACAAACAAACAAAACAAAAACTTCCTTCTCTTGTTGGGATTTATATGGCTGTAACACAGGCTTTCTAGAGTTCTCTGATCCTTATGGTCAGGTCACACAGAGTACAGAGATCCCTGGTTTTCCGAGTAGTAAAATATAACTAAATAGATGCAACACTAATGGCTAAACTGGACCTCATTTATTCTTTTTCCCGGATGTGATGCAAAAAACAAAAAATCCTAGATTGGGGATCAAAAGATCACGTTCTCTTGCTTGACCTCAAAGCTGAGTGGTCTTGACCAAGTTACCTGAACCTTTCTAGGCATTAATTTCCTTAGATAGGAAATAAGGGAATTATGCTGGATAGCCCTTAAAGTCTCTTTCACATCTGACTGAGACACAGAGTCGAGACCTCACACAGTGCCTCAGAGTTTTCGTCGTGCAGATCAACGACCATCAGAGAATCATGCAGCATAATTCCGGTTGTAGGGACTTCTGATGCTTACATCAGGGTTAATGAGTTTTCCATCCTTCCAGGGACAAATCATCAAGTATTTGGCTCTCTAGTAAAAACGTGATTAAGACATTTTTACATTATACACAAAGTACACTTTGATATTCACCGAGATAGTGAGAAGACTTTGTTAAGTAGGTCCTTCTTTGATTCTCTTATTGTTAGAATCCTGTTCCCTCCTCAACTGGGTGGGGAAAGAGGAGCATGGGTCAAAAAGAGAATCTTGGTTAGAGTATTTCTGATTGAATGAAGAATAGTGGAAGTCTTTTTATTCTTGAATTTTTCTACATTTTAATTTTAAAAATTTTCAAAACTAAATATTTTGAAATTATTGCAAATACTTAAAACCAATAATCTGTCATGATTTACCACTATCAGTAAAGAACTATAGTTTACTACTAAAATGCCATTATTGTACCAAAAGAAAAGAAAATTTGGATCTATTTATAAGCTCACTGCAATGTATTCTACTAGTTCTTATTGGTATCATTTCCAGAGTCAAGAGAAAAGGAGAAGATTCACAGTTCCGTTTCCACTATTTCAAACCAGATGTAAAGCATGTTGAATTCAAAGTTAGAGAAGGATTTTGTGGAGCGCCCGCTGTAACTTTAGGAGTAGGATAAATGATTTCTTCAACAGTTACATATGTACCTAAGAAGAAACCAACAACTCCAGTGAACGCTATGGAAATATTTTTCAGGATCATCCATATATTATAGTGTTCCTTAGAAAATGTAAGAATTTCAACCAGAGGTGGTAGGATCAGGGCCAACGTGCTGCTGCTCACAGCTCCAACAAAGGAAATCACAATGTCCAAACGAGGAATCAGAATCGCTCCAGCACCTAGAAAAAGAAAATACATATAATCCTTAATTAAATACCTAATATTTAAATGAAAACTAAATGCAGACAGTGGGTATGATAACTCTACTTTCTTTTGTTAACTTTTCTGAGTTATTTCCAGATGAAATTAAAAAAAAAAAAAAAAAGTACCACTACTTCTGACCGATTTTCTTCCAAACTACTGGCAAGCTTTCTCAAAAGCTCTGATCTCGTACTTTCTTAGTCCTACTTACCCTTCTCTTGCTGAAGGTATCAACAGAGGATATGTGAAAACTAAGACTCAGATTCCTTTCTCCAACGTCACTGATCAACTTGCTCAGGGTTTGGAGTGGCCACCAGAAATAACGCTAGAGTCTGCTCACGGGCAGGCTATGTCAGCTATGCCCTCCCCTGCCCCGCTCCCCCCCCCCCAACAAACGGTGAGGATTCTGTCACCACAGTTCTCGCTTTGAGGACTCCATTGACATGTGCATTGGCTCTCCCTAACTTGTCTCCTAAAGCTATCATCTCCCCTCTGATCTTTTTATCCCTCTCTTTTTAAGATTTTTATTTATTTTTAGAGAGAGGGAGAGAGAGAGAGACTGTGCGCATGCGTCCGTGAGCGGGGGAGGGGCAGAGGGAAAGAAACTCAAGCAGGCTCCCAAATGAGCGTGAAGTCCAATGTGGGACTCGATCTCAAGACCCTGAGATCATGACCTGAGCCAAAATAAAGAGTTGGGCGCTCAACCGACTAAGCCACTCAGGGGCCCCATCCCTCTCTTTTTATTCCTAAGTTTACATACTTTTGCTTTCCTCATTTCTAGCCTCTTTGTCTCTTGCTGAACTTTCCTGGTGTATATATAATTTAACTTGGGCTCTGGAATGAACGCTTCCATTTCCACTTCTTTATTTTTAGGTTATGGGTTTTTTCCTTCCCCTATATTCTTTTTGTGGCCTCAATGTTTTCCAGGAGGATGTGGTATTAATCTGGAACTACTAGGTTTCTTGGAAGTACTTGTTATTTATTTAATTTCTTTTGAGAGCTAAAATGCTAAAAATTATTTTGAAATGATAAACCTAGCCTCACACCTAGAGGACTGAAGTGCGGCAAACTTTCCTAAATAAGACACATGACTTTGAAGGAGTTGCAGCTCTAAACTGGAAATGCTTGATAAAGTGGATTCCCTGTTGAATAGATGCTTGCCACATTCTTGTATCGTGTTTCTCCAGGGAACCATAATTGTAACTCCCAAACAAAACTAGGACCTTTCAAATTTCATGGACAACATCCATTTCTGAGAGGCCGCCATAGCAAGTCAATCCCTGCGAGTCTGACCCATCTTCCCAAGCTTTTGAGTCCTACTAAGAGGATAGTTTGAAAGGATGATTCAAATGCTAACTAAAGAAAAGGTGTAATGAATATAATGCAGGCTGATGAGCTCAGGACTCTGAACAGCAGTACTACAAACTTGCATTCAGTGTTTGGAGAGGGCTGTGGAACACTGCAAGATACCCGAGCTTCACATCCACCTGGGCCTCCACTCTCACTGCCAGTGTCACACAGCCTGCTCTGTGGACACAACGGTCCCACCGGCTGTCCACACAGGCATCCGTCAGGAGCCTGCCCCCAAGCTTATCAAGGGCCCCCAGGGCAGATAAAAAACAGTCCCGTCCTGCATGTCGGCTGGCTTTGACTTTAATTGGGAAACACGAGCCCAAGATTCCAAAGAAGGTCGGCGTCTGGCGACACGTCCCAGTGAAGCACAAGGGGATACTCCTCGCTTTGTGTTCTCTTCGTCCAAAGCGTGCTGAAACTATAACCCTCATATACCACCGAATAACTTTTAACTATTTCTTTTTAATTTTTTCAGTGTTCCAAGATTCATTGTTTATGCACCACACTCAGTGCTCCATGCAATACGTGCCCTCAATACCCACCACCAGGCTCACCCAACACCCCACTCTCTCCCCTCCAAAACCCTCAGTTTATTTCTCAGAGTCCGCAGTCTCTCATGGTTCGTCTCCCCCTCCGATTTCCCCCAACTCACTTCTCCTCTCCATCTCCCCAGGTCCTCCGTGTTATTCCTTATGCTCCACAAATAAATGAAACCAAATGATAATTGACTCTCTCTGCTTGACTTATTTCACTCAGCATAATCTCCTCCAGTCCCATCCATGTTGATATAAAAGTGGGGTATTCATCCTTTCTGATGGAGGCGTAATACTGCATTGTAATATATATGGACCATATCTTCTTTATCCATTCATCTGTTGAAGGGCATCTTGGCTCTTTCCAGAGTTTGGCACCTGTGGCCATTGCTGCTATGAACACTGGGGGTACAGATGGCCCTTCTTTTCACTACATCTGTATCTCTCTTGGGTAAATACGCAGTAGTACAATTGCAGGGTCATAGAGTAGCTCTATTTTTAATTTCTTAAGTATTTTTAAGTAAAAGAGAGAAGCAGGGGGCACCTAGGTGGCTCAGTCATTAAACATCTGCCTTTGACTCAGATCATGGTCCCAGGGTCCTGGGATAAAGCCCCGTGTCCGGCCGTCTGTTCGGCAGGAAGCCTGCTTCTCCCTCTCCCAACCCCTGCTTGTGTTCTCTCTCTCACTGTGTCACTGTCAAATAAATGAATAAAATCTTAAAAAAAAAAAAAAAAAAAGAGGGAGAGAGAGAGAAGTGGCAAAGAAACACTGGCCATTCTGTGTGACACGGACTCAGCTCCTGAGGAGAGCCCCCAGGCTTCTAGACTCCTGGTAGCAGACGTGCAGACAGCACTTCGACGTAACAATGGCGGCCAGTGCACAGAAATGGGTGAAGTTACTGAACTATCAGAAGTTATTAAATCCCTGTAACATTTTCTTCAAGCTCCTTCAAGTGAACTTCAGTTACTAATTTTCAAAGGAGACACACTTTCAGAATAGAACAGTTTTACATCTAGATAAAAGGACTCATACTGATATCAGCCTTTTTATTTAGTACAGTTGTCAAAATTCAATAAAAACAATGAGTAAGAAGTATTTCAAAAAGTCATAAAGTGACTTTTTCCTACTGAATGTTTTCTTAGTCATCAGAGTATCGGCTCATTGACTTCACTCCTCATTATGATTTATCTTATTGTTGCTAAAATTCATTTAAATGATTACTTTGGAAAAAAGGTCTCATTTACTTTTCCCAGCTTTTTCTTTAGATCTAGGCATAAGTTCCACCCCAAGCTGCTCACTGAAATTTACAGTTGCCCCGAATTTCTAACTCTCTCATTCTCTCGCCTTGATTGGGCCAAGATGGTTACTCGTATCTTCCACGGAAAGCTGACCCATTTCCAGTGGTCCCTGGTTATCACTCTAGGTAATCGTCAGTTCAGTATTAGGATCATCTTATACTTTTGGTTACAACAATAATGGTGACAATTATAACTGCTGGCTACTTTGTTAATATTCTTAAACCCTACAAAATATGCCATAAAAGGAAGTCTTTCTTCATTCCACAGTTGAAAAAAGAGGAGCTTACAGATGGTAGGGAACTTGTCTAAAGACACCAGCAGGTAACTGGTAGGTGTGAACTGTCAGATCAGTGTGGCCCCAAAATGCACACTATTTCCCACTGTACCAAAATCAAGCTGCTTCTCCACAGGTCTCCATGATTACTGCTCCCTGGTGAGGCATTTTATAACGTGAAACCTTAGGAGGAGATTACACACATTCCTTCAAATAGTAAGTAAAATTAGCCACTGAAATTATTAAAGACCAAAACAAAACAAAACCCATTTCTATAGGTAGTCATGGAGATTTAAGCAGTTAAATATACAAAAGTTAGCAGAAATAAAAAACCTGAGGAAAACTAGAACCAAAGTAAAATGTCTATCAACAATATAAGAGTCCCTTATGCATCTGATTTAAATATACTTATATTTTTAACCACTGATGCATTTTCAAAATAATCTGATTAGTTCTTTTAAAGGTAACAGGATCTGCTCTATGTTTTTCTTCTACAGTAGTAGAATAACAGAATTTTAACTCAAAAAGTATCTCAGCAATGTAAACAAAACTGATTTTAAAATATTAAAAAATATACTTTAAGTAGATTCATTATATGACACTCAACAAGAAAAACTGATGATGCTGTAAATGTGTAGTAATACTTACACGTAATAGCAACCAAGAAGGACCTTATGGCAAATTCACAGATTTGTTTCCATTTAGCATGAAATTTGGATGTGATCATAGGGATAATGATCTCTGCCGGAACGTAGAACTGAATTGAATATGTCACAAAGATGCCAAAGGAATATAGAATTTTCACTGACTGATACAACCTGATAAAAAAAATTTCAAAATTCAGTCATTCTTTTTTTCCCCAGATTTACTGAGGTACAACAGGCAACACCGTTAAACAGGTAAAGTGTACAACATAGTATTAAATATACACTGTGACAGGGTTCCCACTATTGAGTTAATTAACACATCTATCACCTCACACGTTTGCTTTTTTTTTTCTCTTTTTGGTGAGAACACTGATTCTACTCAGTGAATTTCAGTTATATGCTATACTGTTACCAACTGTGGTCACCACATTATACATCAGATTCTTAAAATTTCTTCATCTTACCACTAAAAGTTTGTACCCTTCTAGCAAACTCTCCTCGTTTTCCTCACTCACCAGCCCCCTAGCAACCATTAATTGACTCTGTTTATGTGAGAGAGAGAGATATATATTTCACATAAAGTCAATGTGAGATCGACTGTGTGTGTGTGTGTGTGTGTGTGTGTGTGTGTGTTCTTTTTTTAACTTTAGGGACATGACACAGAGAAAGAGATAGGGAGAGAAAAAGCACAAGTAGGGGGAGCAGCAGGCAGATGGAGAGGGAGAAGCAGGTTCCCCGTTGAGCAGGGAGGCCGATGTGGGGCTCGATCCCAGGGCCCTAGGGTCATGACCTGAGCTAAAGGCAGACTGCTTTTTTAAAAGACTGAGCCACCCAGGTGCCCCACATATTTTTTAATTAATCAATTTTTTAAAAAATGTATTTATTCTAGAGAGAGAAAACATATGTTGAGTGAGCAGGGGGAGGGGCTGAGAGAGAGAGCGAATCCTCAACCAGAGGCCCTGTTGAGTACAGATCCTGACGGGGGGCTCGATCCTGGGATTCTGAGATCGTGACCTGAGCTGAAATCAAGAGCCAGCCACTTAACCGACTGACCCACCCAGGCACCCCATATGTATTTTTTTAGATTCCACTTATGAGTAATGCCACACAGTTTTGTCTTTTCTTTCTTTGCCTGGATTATTTCACGTAACATAATGGCTTCCAGGTTCATCTACACTGTTGTCTTTTTTAAAAAAAAATTTTATTATTTGACAGAGAAAGAAACAGCAACAGAGGGAAAACAAGCAGGTGGAGTGGGGGAGGGGGAAGCAGACTCCCCGCTGAGCAGGGAGCCCAATGCAGGGCTCAATCCCAGAACCCTGGGATCATGACCTAAGCTGAAGGCAGATGCTTAATGACCCAGCCACCCAGGCGCCCCTACACTATGGTCTTGACATGAATCTGGCTTTCTTCTTTTTATCTTTAATGTTAACATAGGTTAAGAAATCCAACACAAACATAGGCCAGTATCTTACTAATTAGATGATTAAAAAAAAAAAAAAAGGCCAGCTTGTCTCTACCGAATTTCTAGATGACTGGTGGACAGTTCATTTTGACAAGCCCAGAGGGCTTAAATGTGGCAATGCAAAGGTTTGGGAATATTGCTGCAAAGATTTCATTTTAGGCTAACCCAGTGTTCTAAAGGCTAGGCTGTGTCCCATGAAGAATCAATGTTTTCTCAACTTTCTTTTAAAAACTAGGCATACTACTGGGGCGCCTGGGTGGCTCAGTGGGTTAAAGCCTCTACCTTCAGCTCAGGTCATGATCCCAGAGTCCTGGGATCAAGCCCCACATTGGGCTCTCTGCTCAGCAGGGAGCCTGCTTCCTCCTCTCTCTCTGCCTGCCTCTCTGCCTACTTGTAATCTCTGTCTGTCAAATACTAAATAAAATCTTAAAAAAAAAAAAAAACTAGGCATACTATTACATCTTTGATAACTTACTGATCTATATATAGAAGAAAACTTCACATCAAACTCTGAGTTACAGTTCTTAAAAAACTTGGTAGGTATGTCATTAGTTGCAGAAATACCATCACTCTTAGGTCCAAAAGGAGGGCATTTAAATGGTTTCAACTTAAAGAGTTCTCCAGATTATATAGGAAATCCATCTATGTTAAATTTGCATTAGTAGGGAAATAAAGTTTGTTAGTTGGGTTGATGCCCAGTGCTTCAAAACAGCATAGCAACGTTCAGTTTTACAAATATCTTTAGATTTCTACATTGTAGATAGTCTCTTGTCAAAATCAGTACCCACGTCTGGATAGAGTCTTTGGTTAACTTCCTTTTGTCTGGCTTTTTAAATGTTGATAGTGGCACAGAGAGAAAGTGCAGTATCAGAGGACTCAGATTATAGAAACTATTCTCCTGAGTTACAGACAATAAAACTGTTTTGTTTTTTGAAATTTCGAATATTTTACAACAGTTAAAATAGAAAACCCAAAACAACTGGAGAGGAGACTGAGGATGGAACACGCCGCAGCGTTAGGGGTACTGGTTAACACCCATGTCCTCTTGAGGCAGAGTCATCCCTGACAGTCCCAGTCTTCCGTGTGAGAGTCCTGCTTTTCCACCCGCAAGGCCCATCTATGCAAGGGAAGAGTGTTTCTTAGGAAAAAAATGCAGTCCTTTTAAAGAGAGATGAAATAGTCCACTTTTGGTAGAGAAAGGCCTCAACATTTAATTAGACTTTAAGCTTATTTCTGATGTCTTAAGATTTTCAGTAGCAAAGATTATAAACAGTTCTCTAAACCGTGGCCACGCGGGAAGGAATTCTGTAAGTGTCCTCCTATGATACATGCGTCAGAGGAGTGAGTAAGAGAGGAGTAAGAAAGGAAAAGTCAGAAGAGTGAGTAAGTGAGTAAGAAAGGAAAAGAAGTTGAATAGAAATAGATTCGAAAATACTATAAACATAATTACAGAAAGAAGGAACTCCTCAGGGCTAGCAACAATAAAATCTTAATTTTTAAAACAATTTCAGGATATATTTCTCAGCTTGAGGCTTAAAGTTTAAATATAAACGGTCAGTTATTGCAATGCACAAAACAACTGAAAGACTCCTGCCTCATATACTGATATGTAACAGCAGACAATTAAATGAATATTTTTATCAGTTTATTATTTGAACATTCTTTTTGTTGTTTATTTGTTATTATTTGAACATTCCTAATTATCTTTTAACATATATTTTAACTTACATGTTTTTCAATATGGTTAACAATATATTTAAAAATACATCATTATGCATGTAGGTATAATTACTTTTCTATTGATTTAAAACAAGTTATACAGAATAAGAATTTGGTTATTACTAACACAAGTCAGTAAGATTATGTATTACACAGAGAACAAATGAGAAATAAAATGGTATGAGACTTTTAAAAGCTAATATACATGCTATTTATCAACAAAGAAGAGTAATAAAGATGTTTAAGAAAAGCATTGCAGTCTATTAAAATCAACTGTTCTATTCTGACTTCTCTGTTTTAAGAATACTAGTTTCATCTATATTTTCGATCCCTCTGTTTTTCTCTAATCAGGTTTTCTATAGGTATTATCAACCTTGGTTCTCCTTTTGGTGTGAAGCAGGCATCTATGTACTGTTTTAGAAATGAAGAGTTGAAAGAAGATCTACCCTGTAAACTCTCTCTCCAAAGGATAAAACACCTTCTTAAAGTCACAAGAATTTATTTTGAAGATATAGAACATAAATAACTTTTAAGTAACATCTAATGCACATTAAAAAGCATTCTAAAATTCATTGCCAAAGGGTTTTTTTTTTAAGATTTTATTTATTTATCTGACAGAGAGATAGAGCCAGAGAGCACAAGTGGAGGTGGGTGGGTAGGAGGGGGATGGCAGAGGGACAGGGAGAAGGCGGCTCCCCGCTGATCAGGGAGCCCAATGTGGGGCTGGGTCCCAGGACCTTGGGATCATGACCTGAGCTGAAGGCAGACGTTTAACCAACTGAGCCACCCAGGCATCTGCTGTACTTTTCACTATGTTTTAGATTTTATTTATTTATTTTAGGTGGGGAGGAGCAGCGGGAGAGGGAGAGGGAGGGAGTAGACTCCATGCTGAGTATGGAGCTGGACATAGGGCTCAATCTCTTGACCCTGAGATCACGACCTAAGCTGAAACCAAGAGTTAGCTGCTTAACCAATTGAGCCACCTAGGCGGCCCCTAATAAAACAATACTTAATCTAAATGTACAGATATGAATATCTTACAAAATTTTTTAAAGCCAATCTGGGAAGAAAGCTGCTGATTCTCCTCTCAAGGTTGAATACAACAGCTACTCTTGGAAAGACTGGTAACTCAACTTGCCCTCTTAGACCCTTCATGATACTCACATTAAAACTCTTGAGCTTAGTTCTGTTAAGAAGGAGTCTGTCTGAGGCCTAGCCATAATGCTTACCAAGAAGCTCACCTCATTCTAAGCTGAAAAATACCACCATAAGCGTTATCTAGTATTCACAACTAGACTGACGGCTGTGACCCACTCAACTTGTGCAGCATGTTTGCCGGACTCTACGTACTGTGATGAAGAGATTCTCACCTGTTCACCGCTGTCTGTCTAGTGCCTGCAGCAAGCACATAAAAGGCATACGATAAATACCTGCTAGATGCCTTTCATTCTGAATTTAATATAATAAAGAACAGTCATTCTGAGAGAAGAGTCAGAGGCAGTTTGGCCCAGGATTCCCAGTCACAGGCAACTTTAATACTGGGAGGAGATAATTAAGTCTGCCCTAGAATTTTGAGACCCATGAAAACAAAAGTTTAATGAGAAAAAACAAAGAAACAAACAGAATTTGTCAGGGAGAGGACAAAGGGAATAGTCCAAGAGATAGGAACCTTATTTTTCCAGTTTCCTTAAATTTCTCTTCCTGCTTTTTTATTGTACCTCTTGGCAAGTCTGTTCTTGCCCAAATATTTTCATTTAGGTAACGAGCTCCTCAAAGTTCAACACTCTACCTGCCTAGTAGGTTCAGCGATTACCTGCCATTACTCATCAGCTTTATTCTGCAGAACGTTCAGGCTCCCAGCTCCGGTATACTACAAACGCGGGCTTAGACCTGGGGTTGGTTCTGTTATTTTTGGCGGGGGCAGATGAAGGGCCAGTTCAATTATCTTAATAATTATTAAAATGCCTACCTTATCCCTTCCCTGTTCTTACATGGTTTTTCTCTATTTTTAACTGAATTGTTCCTATCCAATACATGTTTCACAAAGAATGTCGTGTGTGAGAGCAGAAACACCTTCCTGCTTCTTAGCCTTTTTGTGTGTGTGAAAACCTAATACCCTTGATATTTCTTAGAAGTGCTATGTGTGCTGACTAAATGAGTAACATGTGAACTCACTCCAGGCCAGTATTTTTCAAACTAATCATGACCCACTAGTGGGTTATGGTATCAATTGAGGGAGTTGTGAAAAGTTTTTTTCTTCTTTTTCCCTAAGATACAGACTGGAACAGAGAATACCAGGGGACACTGTATGTAGAAAATATGGGTTTTTATTTAAGCTTTTACTTATACCCTACTTCAGTGACTTATAGGAGTGTGTGCGGTGGGCACCACAAAAACATATACACAGACACACATACTCTTATTTCTAGAAGGTTTTAAAACATTTCCCTTTTTCTACTATGGGTTGTAGTTTAAAAAGTTAAAAAGCCACTAATTGGAACCAAGAAGGCATGGAAACTGTGATGGGGAAAAGGCGGAGGGGTATGGAACAGACCTTGTGTTTCAGACAGGTAAAAAGTAAGCAACACAACACAACTGAACAAAGGAAATCACAACAAAAGCGAAAGATGTTTGTTCCTACGATGTCACTCAGCAAGACAGATACCAGATAAATACCGTTTGCTATCTTAGGTCCTCTTGTGAACTTGTTACACCAGCATTCACGCTCAGTAATCACCCTCCACTCCCCACTCCTCCATGCTATGCTTGAAACAGGCTACTTGACAGGTCTCTTCTCAAGACTCCCAAGAGAATGCTTTTTCCCCCTCTCGGCTGTTATTTGGGTTCTGTTAGTGGAAGTCCTGGAAAAACGCTGCTACAACATCACTCGACTCAGACCCCTACCAGTGCCTTGGTTCTATTATCAGGTAACAAGGGACATGCTCTTCAACTCAGAATGCTAGGTAGCAAACATTTACCAAGGCCTCTTGAGCGCCGAGCCACGTGCTAGATCACAGAGGTACATCCTAAGCCGAGAAGCCGCGGGGTTCCTGCCCTCAAGGAGCTAATGATGCAAATTTACTTATCATCTTTCAAACACACTCTTTGCTTCAAAGTCTAAATGAGACAGACTGAATACTACTACTCATAACTGGTTTGAAAAGATGACACCTCAGTCAATAAACAGTAAATAACTTGGAGCTTCTCTAATCCATAATTGCTTTATCCTGCGCTGCTTTTTAATCCAGCCTTTTCTTGTAGGACGACCTTGATGAACTCAGAGAACGTACGTCACAGGGCATCAAGAGCCCCACACGGGGTCCCAGCAGTAGCGGCTGAGAGTGCCCCAGGCTCCGTGACAGCCGTTGGCTTTTATACCCACAATAACCAGCACCCTGCCCCTTCTCTGACTTCCTAGGCCTACCGCCCGAAGCATGGGGACGGAAAGGAAGAGACTGATCCAGAGCACATCAAGAAAGAAATTTTAGATACGATCCTATGATCACGCCTGATCCTATGATCTCATTCTACAGAAGTCTATCACTGTGAAGAGACGGGCTTCTCCGCGGTATCCCTTGGTCATGGCTGTTACTTTAACCGGCCCAGAGGCACAGACCACAAAGAAATGAACAGCAGGCCACAGATTAAAAGTTACGTTGCCTCTGATTTCATCACGGAAACACACATATCCTAAGGCAACTAATGTTACATACAAGGTTGTAACGATTCCCACGCCTCCCACAAGGAAAAGGAACTAGCCAACACGAGCTCGCCAAAGGAGAATTACGTATCTTGACTTACTTTCCATTTTATTCCAGATTTTTGTTTCTTAGGATACGTGTACTATATCCTTTCCTCTAAATGAAAAGCAGGTGACTAGCTAGGCTTTCTTGAACACAGATGATGATGTAATGGTCCCTTTTTAATGGAGACTTGCAACTAGTTCTGTTCTAAGTGTAAAGCACAGCAAAGAGGAATAAGGGGAGAGGCGGGAAGGGGATGCAGAAAAAGGGAAGGATTATACAGAGCTACTGCCAGGGCATACGGCTCCCTCAGGACTCAGCTGTGAACGCCCAGAGCACTCCCTGCTTGTCTCCCCCACACTGCTTCGCCATGCTCTGAACTCTCTGGGGATAGGCACATCTTAACTTCACATGCCATGTAACTCCCCCTTCGGTCCCTGCTCTTTTTAAATACTTCTGTGAGGAAGAGTAAGGAAGAAAGTTCTGAGACTATTTCCACCTATATTTTATATTTGACATTAGAAGTACTTGTCAATTTTATTTCTGAAATTGTTCTTCAGATTTATTCTAAATATATTCTTAGTAGGGAAAAATACTACTTTCTAGACATCATATAATATTTGAAAAAAAAAAAAGAACTATGCTACCATACTTTTTAGCCTTGATCATCTCTTATATTAATCTGTTTAAGATTCTAGCCTGTATTAAACTATTACAAAAAGAGATATATTTGGAAGAAACACAATTATATAATCAACTATAATGTAAGTTAATGAAATAAATGCTTAAAGTTACATATCTTGTTTGTGATCATGTCTCTAGTCTGAAACGAAGGTATAACATTGGACACGTTTCCATCATGAAATAAAAATGTGTCACAGTTGAAGTAGAATTATAGTTGAAGAACACACTGCATGTTTGCCCCCTGTGAACCTGGAAACTATTCGAGGTACATTGTATCACAACTGTCTTCGCGTATGCATTTGTTCTTACAACATTTTTGAGTCCAGTAAAAAGCCGGGGCTCAGAGGACTACTGAGTGACGGATAAACGCCCAACTACCAACAGGAAGCCAGTCAGAACACATAATATTTAAAAACACTGCAGGTTTCAGACTTCTATCCAAGCAGCTCAAGGAGCAGTGGGGCATTAATTGAATCAGCATTTTAGCATTTATTCTTTGTATTTATCAAAACTAAGGAGTTACTTTCCCTTTTATAAATAAGGAGGCATGTCAACATGGGAATCGCTGTCAATAATCTTTTTAAAATCCCCAGAGACTAAACCCCGGAAGAAGGAAAAACCCCATTACTTCATTTTGTAGAATATGGTTCTAATATTAAGAGAATATTAAGAGGCACCATATTATTTTTTTAGTAATGTGTCCTATCTGTGTTCTGAAAGGATTTGGGGTACATACCTATTAAGGCAGACCAGTAAAACAGTGAGGGTCATAAGTGGTGGGTTTTATTATTTTATCAGGAATCCAGGGTGTTGGATTATTTGGCAACAAATATAAGTATTACATTTTTTTATTACAGTGAGTCCACAGTAAAAGAATCCACATTTTACTTTTATATTTTACTCAAATTGGGAATATGTTACAATTTTTAATCTTTTTAAAGAATCCCAAACAAATCTGTAAAATCACAGATGATCTCTTCTGAAGATTATGAAAAAATTCAAGGTTACACAAATAAGAAAGCACAATAAAATTTTTAAATGTTTAAACCATAAATCCAAAAATACACCTTTATCACCAAATATCGGTAAGCTGTATCTAAGGACTAACAAACTCGTATCTACCTACCATACATCCTGGGGAAGATTCAAAGTTATGCTGCCTTTGATTTCATCACGGAAACACATATATCCCAAGGTAGCTAATGTTACATACAAGGTTGTAACGATTCCCATGCCAATATTCAAAGCTTGGGGGAAGCGTTTTGATTCTTTCATTTGATTTTCCAGTGGAAGGACCTAAGAAGAGAATGCAGGTAATACAAGTAATTGAAAATAATCTAGTATCCCATCTTACATATATATGTAAATTAATCTTTCTATAGTTTGTATGCATATTTTATTTCCTTTAAAATAAGACCTAATTCAATCAGAGAAGGTCCATTATCATATAATCTCTCTGATATGAGGAATTTGGGAGGCAGGGTGGGGGGTTGTGGAGTGTAGGGAAAGAAAAAATGAAAAAAGATGGGACTGAGGAGAGAGATAAACTGTAAGAGACTCAAGCTCAGGAAACAAACTGAGGGTTGCTGGAGGGTGGGGTGGGAGGGATGGGGTGGCTGGGTGACAGAGACTGGGGAGGGTATGGGCTATGGTGAATGCTGTGAAATGTGTAAGCCTGATGATTCACAGACCTGTACCCCTGAAGCAATAATACATTATATGTTAATGAAAAAATAAAAATAAAAAATAAAAAAAGACACAATTACTGAATATTTTTCTTGGTGTTATATATATTTTTACACTACAGATTTTTCAAATCCTTAAAATAAAAACCTCTGAAATTAGCTCTTAGCAGGCAAACCTGTCAGATTTTTTTTAAAATAAACTTTTTTTTTTTGGAATAATTTTAGATTTACAGAAAAGTTACAAAGATAAACAGAAAACTCTCATACACCCGACCAATTTGCCCAATTGTTAACATTTTAAACTACCAAATTACATTTGTTACATCTAAGAACCAACATTGGTTCATCACTATTAAACTCCACATTTTATTTGCATTTCATTAGCTTTTCTACAATGTCCTTTTTCTGTTCCAAGGTGCCTTCCAGGATGCCACATTGCATTTTGTTACCATAAATCTCCTTGGTCTTCTCTGATCTTTGATGGTTTCACAATCCTTCCTCATTGTTCATTATCTTGACAGTTTTGAGGAGCAATGGTTAGGTGTTTGGTATAATGTCTCTCTGGCAGGGTTTGTCCGATGTTGTCTGATGTTTGTACACTGGGGTTGTAGGTTTTAGAACAAGATACCATAAAGGTGAAATGCCCTTCTTACCACAAATTTTGCCAACAGGATTTGTCACTGGTGAAACTAATTTTGATCACTTGGTTTAAGGCTGTTTGCCAGGTTTCTCTGCTTATAGAGGTCTTCTCTTCTTTTTCATCATATTCTGTTCACTGCAAGCCAAGTCACTAAACACAGCCCATACCCCAGGGACTGGGGAGAGTAAGCCACACCTCCTGACGGGGAAGTACCTACATAAATTATGTGGGAATCCCCCCATATATGTATTTATTTATTTATTTATTTATTTTTTAAAGACTTTTATTTATTTATTTGACAGAGATTACAAGTAGGCAGAGAAGCAGTCAGAGAGAGGAGGAAGCAGGCTCCCTGCTGAGCAGAGAGCCTGATGTGGGGCTCAATCCCAGGACCCTGGGATCATGACCCGAGCCGAAAGCAGAGGTTAACCCACTGAGCCACCCAGGCGCCACCTATATGTATTTATTTAATCACCTATTTATATTAGTATACATTCACGTGTATTTGTTTTATACTGTGAATATGAATCTAAGACACTTATTCATTTTGTTGCTCATGTTGTTCCAGCTTTGGTCATTGAGAATGACATCAGGTCGCTTCCTGTATTCCTTTGCATGCCTCCGTTCTTTCGGTTTTTTGCTTGTTTTGTTTTTAGCATTTCCATACTTTCTAGAACTACAAGATACTCCAGACTCATCTTGAATGTCCTTGTTTCAGCCCTAGAATCAGACGTTTCTCCAAAGAACTTTGGTTCTTTTGCTGTAAAGTGGTACTTAGAAGTCAAGATCAGGGTGCTGGGTGTGCCCATAGCTACTGTGTAACTCTCAGCTGATGTGCTAGAAAATACGTGTGTGCACACTAACCCAGCTATATTCATTCTGTAATTGCTTCTACAGCTAGCCACCTGTAGCTACTGTCTGTCAATGTAGTGAGAAAAAGTTATTTTTATTATGTGCGGAAAAAAAAAACCTTGAAAGAAAAGAAAAAAAGGCTAATTGAAGAGTTAAGTTTTTTAGGCAAATCTTCAGAGGTTTTGGCCAAATGATTTGACCATACAGTCAAAGATACTAAGAAACAGGAGCAGCAAGAGGAAAACAGCAGCGGCAAGCACACTTACAATGTGCCAGGGGTTCTTCTTTTTTAATTAAGTTAAAATCGTCATATAACATTAGTTTCAGGTGTAAACATAAGAATTTGATATTTATATACACGGCAAAGTGATCACCACAATAAGTCTAGTTACTATCCATCACCAAACAAAATTACACATTTTTTTTCTGTAATGAGAACTTTAAAGATTTACTCTCTTAGCAACTTTCAAATATGCAATAAAGTATTATTGCCTGCGGTTACCATGAGAAATGGGCAAACCTTTAATTAGACTCACCAACTAAAAAGAAGAGAGGGCTCAAATAAATAAAATCAGAAATGAAAGAGAAGTTACAACTGATACTACAGAAACACGGAGTTTCATAAGAGACTACTGTGGATAATTAGATGCCAAAAAATTGAGGAACTTGGAAGAGATGGACAAATTCCTTGAAACACACAATCTTCCAGGACTGAATCGTGAAGAAATAGAAAACCAGAACGCTAAGATTACTAGTAAGGAGATTAGATCAGTAATTAAAAAAAACTCCTAACAAAAGTCCAGGACGATGACTTCACTGGCAAATTCTACCAAAATTCAAATAATATTTAAATACCTCCTCTTTTCAGATATTTCCAAAAAACTGAAGAGGAAGAACACTTTCAAATTCCTTTACGAGGGCAGCATTACCCTGATACCAAAACTAGACAAGGACACGGAAGAAGAAGAAGAAGAAGAAGAAGAAGAAGAAGAAGAAGAAGAAGAAGCAGAAGCAGAAGAAGCAGAAGAAGAAGAAGCAGAAGAAGAAGCAGAAGAAGAAGAAGAAGAAGAAGCAGAAGAAGCAGAAGAAGAAGAAGAAGCAGAAGAAGAAGAAGAAGAAGAAGAAGAAGAAGAAGAAGAAGAAGAAGAAGAAGAAGGAGAAGAAGGAGAAGAAGGAGAAGAAGGAGAAGAAGGAGAAGAACAAGAAGAAGAAGAGGGGCGCCTGGGTGGCTCAGTGAGTTAAAGCCTCTGCCTTCAGCTCAGGTCATGATCTCGGAGTCCTGGGATCGAGCCCCACATTGGGCTCTCTGCTCAGTAGAGAGCCTGCTTCCTCCTCTCTCCCTCTCTGCCTGCCTCTCTGCCTACTTGTGATCTCTGTCTGTCAAATAAATAAAAAAAATCTTTAAAAGGAAGAAGAAGAAGAAGGAGGAAAGAAGGAAGGAAGGAAGAAAGGGGAGGGAATTATAAGCAATATTCCTGATGAATATAGGTGCAAAAATCCTCAACAAAATATTAGCAAACCAAATCAACAACACATTAAAAGGATCATATATCATGATTAAGTGGGATTTATTCCAGGGATTCAAGAATGGGTCGGGATCTACAGATGAATTAACATGATACACCAAATTAACAAAATGAAGGATTCGAATATATCATGCTACTCCCTTCTGATTTTTCTGGTGAAAAATCAGCTAACAGCCTTAAGGGGGTTCCCCTGTATGAAACAAGTTGTTTTTCTCCTGCTGCCTTTAAGATTCCCTCTTTGATTATGTATCTCTGTGTGGATCTCTTTGGGTTCATCTTATTTGAGACTGCCTGTAGAACTGGATGACTCTTTCCTTCCCCAGGGAATTTACCAGCCATTATTTATTATTTTTTGGCATCTTTTTCCCTCTCCTCCTTCTAGGATTCCTATACCACAAATGCTATGCTGCCTGGTGTTGTCCCAGAGGTCCCTTAAGCTCTCTTTACTTTCTCAAATTCTTTTTTCTTTCTGCTGCTCTGTTTGAGTGAGCTCCACTGTCCTGTGTTCGAGGTCACTGATCAGTCCTGCTTCATCTCGTCTGCTTCTGAACCCGTCTAGTCTATTTCCAGTTCAGTAATTGTATTCTTCAGCTTTATGACTTCTGTTTGGTAGTTACTTTTCTGTTGCTTTTTTGAAGAACATCCATTGTTCTCCCAGGTTTCAGGAGCATCTTTATGACCATGACTTTGAACTTTTTAACAGGTAGATGACTTCTCTCCATCTCACTAAGGTCTTTTTCTGAAGTTTTGTCTTGCTCATTCATTTGGAACATATTCCTACACCTTGTTTTTCTTAACTCTCTGTGTTTGTTTCTATGTATTAGCTGAAACAGCTGCATCTCCCAGTCTTAAAAGGAGTGACTTTGTATAGGAGACGAACTCTATCATTCAACTTTGCCCTAGCTCTTGGTTGTCTCTTGGACCTTTGTGATTGTCTAAGTAGCCTAATTTATTGATAGATTTCAGTTGTTGAAGGTGTGCCAAGGCCTGCCAGTGTTCCAGTGTAGGGATCTCAGTCAGTACCAAGTTTCAGGATGATGGAAGTCAGATCCTCAGGCAGCAGCTTTTAAAGTATGGGAAGACACAGTCCTATGAGACCATCTTTGTAAACCCTGCTGGCCTTTAGACCAGGAGATCTGGAGGGGTCTGCTGGGGGAACAGTTGCGAAGTCAAGGCTTCAGATAACTGTATAAGCCCCTTTCTGGGGGGTACCAGCAAGCTGTAGCAAGACCAGAGGGCACAAGATGGTATTTCCCTGTCTACATTCCCTGAGAGCACTTCCGCAGCCTCAAGATATGTGACCAACCTGAAGCCTACCCCTCGGGTGAAAGCTTCTGTGCCAGCAAATAGGCCTTTTTCACTGGCCGACTTGCCGTGCATTTCAGTCTGTTGTCTGTGCAGTGCCCTCAGTGTGGCAGGCGGCCAAGAACTGTCTTTCCCATTGTTCAAGTCCCATGGGGCCCTGGCACACAAACCCTCCTACCCACCAGAGCCAGGTGATCAAGGGGCATCCCCAATGTGGACTACACTCACCCACGGCTTTATTTAGTAAGGCAGGGCAAGGACACTGGGGGCAGGGCACGGCCACCAGTGTTAGAAAGGCAGAAGAGGGGGCACCTGGGTGGCTCAGTGGGTTAAAGCCTCTGCCTTTGGCTCAGGTCATGATCCCAGGGTCCTGGGATCGAGCCCCGCATCAGGCTCTCTGCTCAGCGGGGAGCCTGCTTCCTCCTCTCTCTCTCTGCCTGCCTCTCTGCCTGCTTGTGATCTCTCTCTGTCAAATAAATAAACAAAATCTTAAAAAAAAAAAAAAGAAAGAAAGAAAGAAAGGCAGCAAGGAACTGCTGTGTTTGTGAGTGTCCACCTGCACAACCATGACAGAGGGAGATCACGGATAGGGTGCTCGCGAGTGCCTCCATCCCTGCGGAAAGTCCCAGCTTGTCCCTGCCCCTCCAGCAGATGCTTTTAGACCAGCAAATGAATCCCCTTCACATAGAGTCTAGGTTCCTTTCAAACTGCAGCTTTCATGCCAGGTTCTGAGTCCATATACAAACCCTTCAGAAGGAGTTTCTCAGATCCCAACAGCCCTTTGGATCCTTTGAATGTAAGCCTACTTGGGGGCTTATCTCTCAAGGGCAGGTCTGAAGGGCTGGGATGCCTGATGTGGGGGCACACACCCCTTGCTCAGGGAAAAGCTTCAGGCCTATAAGATCCCTCCCTGTACTGGGTCACTGCAGCAGGGGCAGAGTTTCTGGTGAGAACATATCTCTGTCTCCCCCATCCGTCTTCAGGTGCCTCCTCCATCCGTCTTGAGGTGGACCTTTTACTCCTTTGAAGTGGAGCAGCTGTTCAGCTAGTTTCCAGGTCCTTCTCAGAGGCCATTATTCCACATGTAGTTTTAGTTGTAGTGTGTCCATGGGAGGAAGGAAGTTCAGGCTCTTCCCTTCTTGCCATCCTAGACCACCCCCTGCCAGGGATTTTTCCAGATGCTTTGCAGGCAGCACCTCATATAATCCTCACCATAACCCTATACCACAATAACTCCAGTAATAGCTCTACTTCTTAGGTAAGTCAGATCCATATGGAAATATTAACTAGTTAATAGGAGAGAGAACCACCTGGATGTTCTGGAGATAATCCAGACCTAAAATAAGGGACTAAGGTTAAGAATGGTGCCAGTGCAGCTACAAAAGGAGGAAAGGAAGGAAATTCACATTTATGTGGGCTCCCTCTGGGGCTAGCAGCACTGTGGGTGTTTTAAATGTAATTTCATTTATGGGGAACTATGAAAGAAAAATAAACATGCCTTGATTACTGATGGAATGGGGGGAACCAGGGACAAAGTGAAAGGAAATGTTCCAATGTTTCAAGCTTGAGGGACTGAAAGTAAAACTAAGAGAAATAGGGAAATGAGAAAGTGAAGCTAGCTTTGGATTAAGAAAGTCTATGTCAGGGGTACCTGGGTGGCTCAGTGGGTTAAAGCCTCTGCCTTCAGCTCGGGTCATGATCTCAGGGTCCTGGGATCGAGCCCCACATCGGGCTCTCGGCTCAGCGGGGAGCCTGCTTCCCCCTCTCTCTCTCTCTGCCTGCCTCTCTGCCTACCTGTGATCTCTCTCTCTCTCTCTCTGTCAAATAAATAAAATCTTTAAAAAGAAAAAAGAAAGTACTGTGCCTTTAAAAAAAAAAAAAAAGAAAGTCTATGTCAGCTTCAGAGCTGTCGAACTTGAGATGTTAAAGGACAACTTAACTGGGTATATCCAATAGTTAACTAGAACTTACTGGTTAAAGATGGAAATGAAAATCTGCAGTTATGTCTGTAACCGTCATAAATGGACCTGTAAGAATTCGTGAGAATTCTCTAAAGAAGAATTAAGAGAGAGCAAGAACCCAAGTAAAATGGTATAAAACTGTCTTCTAGGTCAATTTCATCTGTGATTCGTATAGGTACGTATAAGTGTTTTCCCTCCCGTACTAAACCATTAGACATATAGAGAGCAGAGAGTGATATTTTATTTTCCCCAAATCTACACATTCCAGGCTTTAAATAAACTGGAAGCATCTTAAATGGAAATACTTAAGATCTGAGGATCCACAGGGTGCTTGTATTTCTTGGTAGTAGCTTTATGATAACATCATTTCTCAAAACAAACATGATATGTATAAATCTAAAGGGAGAATTTATATTTGATTCTTCTATGTAATGGCAACTTTGTAACAATTTCAATTCCCTTAAAATCATCTAGTCTATAAAATGTGATGCTTGGGCTCTGTCTGAATAATTTGGGCTTGGCAGACGAGATTGAAGACAGATAAAACAAAATTGGCCATGAGTTGAATTCTGAAGCTGGGTGATGCTGACACAAGAGTTCATCTATTATTCTCTATTTTGTCTTAGGCTTGAAATTTTCCATAATAAAGTGTTAAAAATCTAAACTAAACTATAATTCAAATCTAATCTACCAAACTACAAAACAAAAAAGAAAAATGGATTTTTAAATGTAGTTTGACTACATAAATCTTTGTGTTGCCTTAAAAATAATAATAAAGAGTAAATCCTTACCACTCCTATGCCTTCAAAAGCAAACACAGCAGTACCAAAAAAGAGTGGGTATTTTTTCCAACCAGCCACTATTGGAAGGTTGTGGGGACTTGGCATATTCTAGAGAAAGAAAAACAAAAAAAGATAAGTTAACATCTTTACTTATTTTAAAGAATTTAAAATAAATAGCGAAATCATTTACTTCTGAGTTTTACAACAGCAAATGTATGTTATAAAAGTGAGTAATTCTTTCAATAAACACTTTAAGCATCCTATGTTAAATGTAGCCAAGCTGTTAGGACTTCACTGCCAAAAGCCATTGTTTCCCTCATGCCCACACATTCCATCTGGGCTAAACGCTCCTGATTACCTGCTGCTACCTTCAAGTCCTGAGCTGTTCACTCCACGTATGGCTCCTGGCACGACAGGAAATACACAAGCATCCTCAGTCTGAGCTGAGAGCCACGGTATCAAACCCCACTCACGGTGTCCAATGAAATCCATTTTCTACTCTGTTTTCATTGCTCTTTCAGTCTCCAAGATACCTGTTCCTAACTCTGGCTTTTTCACATCATAACTCTGCTGCTTCCTAGTACAGGTCTCCTCCTGGTCTCTGTGTCTTAATCTTTACCTTGACAGTTCTCATTACCCTCATTATTTGTACATATTCCTTAACTTTGGCTTTGATTACTTGGCCTTGATGCATAGCCTTGTTCCAACTTTCACTATCTGGAAACTCACAAATGCACATCTTGCTGAAGATCTCTGGTTCCACAAATGGCTGTATCTTCCAGCTACGCCTAGACTGGTTCCCACTCTGCCCTACCTAACTGGAAGTGGGATTCAAGGCAAAGGAAACGGGATGAAAAAAGAAACTGAAGTGTGAAAGCACATGGATAGTCTGGGAAATAAAGAGGTCTAGAATATTTGAAGCACAGGGAGACGTGTGTGCTACAGTGATGATACATGATGGAAAACACAAGCTATGGTCAAAGTGAAAAGAGTAGTAAGTGTCTGAGTCATTTGATAACACCAACTGTTACTCAAGGCTCACACTGTTCCCTCTACCTAAGGAGCCTCCTTTTCTGCTCCGCTAACTCTTACAAGCTCAGCTAAGGATTCATGAACTATGGAAAGCCTTATGAGACCTTCCGGCCTGTCCCCTTCCACTCTTATGTACAGTAAGAAAATGTCTACAGGTTCTGGAATTTGGTGGGGGGGCAGGTATGAAACAGAGTTTGTAACAAACTGCCAGTGGAGGTTTCAGAACAACTGCAGCAATAATATACAAAATGGGTTGGATGAGAAAAGAACAGAACAGGAATGCTTGACCTTTTCTGAGTCATTGGCCCCTTTTGAAAAATGAAAGCTATACAGTGCTCAGTAGAAGAATGCATATATACATGAACATTAAATCTTGCAAATATTTTGAATGCATTTGCAGATCCCCTAAATCCCATCAATCAAAAAAAATTTTTTTTTTTTTTTTTTTAAAGAAATACTACTTTTATGGTTGGGCTCCCCAGACAATGGACAATGAAATCAACTGAGGTCTTCTGATAAAGAAGTTACGGACTAGGGCAGTGGCAGTGAACTGAGATGGTAGCAGCAAATAAAGGAAAATATAAAAATAAAATAAATAGGAAAATAAAAGCAAATAAAAGAAAATTTAAAAATTATATCTATATTCCATCTGGAAGCTGGATCAAATCTTAAGAGAGTAAACAAAACAGTACTGAGGTCTTTGTTTCATGTTGCACAGTGTACTGAGGCATGATCCTAAATCACACAGCTTCCTAGGGTGGGTATTACTCTCCTCTGCAGCAAAGTCATAAAGCCCAGAAGCATATTTACCAAAATCTAAAACCAGACCTGAACACTAAGCCTGTGCTCTATGGCACACACCTTTCAAGCTGATCAGTATCCCCCAACCAGAGACCAGAGTTGACTCCAAGTTGATCTCTGGTATGCCACATAATGAGGCAGGGGTCTTTACATATCACTACATTCACCTCCAAAGTAAACAAAGAATTTACTTATTAAGAAACACATATGACAGTCAAAAACATATTATACTTACCCTAACAACATACTGATAAATTATCACAAGGCTGACAGCCATGGAAATGTTGGCAAGGAATGAAAGCACAAACAGATTCTTTAGCTCACGAATGAAGACCAAAAGAATTATGAATGGTAGAAAGCAAAGCATATATATCCTTAGGTCAATACTTCTTCTCTCGCAAGGGTTTGAAGAATTGGTACTGTTCAAAAGAAATACTTTACTCTCCAGGAATCCTTCATGAACCTATATAGCATTACCAGGAGAATAAGAAAGAGGGGGGGAAAATTCCATCAACTTATAAATAAAAAAAAAAAAAGAAAGAAAATTATTATCTATACACTCTATGTTAAATTCCTTTATGATTAATCAAATATTTACCTTTTTCAAGATATTCTAGCTTCTTAGAAATATGTATTTATCAAGCTTAAGGATAATTAAAATAGGATAATCTTCTTTGGAAAATAACTTCTTTTATCATACTGTAAAAAGAAGGTTCACTAGAAAATTATGAGGATGAATTTACTAATTTATTTTGAAGCTTTGTGCTCATGATCCCTGCAAAGGTTCAATTTGTTTTAGAGATAATCAAAAGTGGATGCATACTTGTTAAGAATGACCATATCCTACTCCGACTTATTTTCTTCAGAGGAGGAAGCAAGCTCTAAGTTCCTCTAGGAAATGTACAGTTGTCAAAATAAAGTTTAGAAATCATAGTCTAACTTTAAAACTGTTTTATAAAACAACTGTTTATAAATTATCATCACTATCAATAAATACTTAGTAAGAATCCACTAAATTCATTGATGGCCATGTGTTAGATGTAGGTAAATTTCTGCTAGAGCAATAAACTTCAATAAATCAGTTTTACCTTAAAATTTATTCAGCCACTTCTATAAACCAACATTCAGTGTTCAAGAGAGATACAATAACTTATAGTTTCTATATATTAAAAATTGTCTCATCCAATTAATATGATCCAATTTACTAAACTAGAAATGAAATTATAGAGGATTTTAAAAACATTCTTAAAAACTCACAGCAGAGGCAGATAATATTGTAATTTAAATACTAGTGAAAATTTATTTGCCCCCAAACACTGTACCCCCTCCCCACTGAACACATGAACGTGATCAAGTCTCCAGATACATCAATTCTTAAGAACCAGAGCCTACAGTAATAACAGGAAGCAGTTTTTGAGGACTGAACTAACGCGGTACACAACATCTCATCTCATCCTCAAAACAACTCTCTGAGGTGGGTGTTAAGAAAACTGAGGTTTAAGGAGGGTTAAAAAAGCTTACGTAGTATCAAGTCAGTAAGTGGTAGCTCTAGGATTCCAGCCCAGGCATGAGACTAGAATTCAGCTTATGACAGCTGCATGTTTTAACCCGACCAAATCCCCCCATCGCGGAGGGGGCCCTACCCAAGGAGCCGCCTGGCCTCTACTCTGACATCTCTCTCTCTAAATATACTAAGTATTAAGAGGCCCGCAAGTCAGAAGTTTAGAACAAAATTACAGTATGATTAACAATTCAAGTGTTTCTTTTAATTTTATACTTACAACTTATAAAAAGCAATATTTAGTGTCACTACAAATGTATACATCATCTTAAACTGCAGGGAATATATTTACCAGTTTAAGCTAGATAGGCAACTTGTAACTCGCACAGGACTAATAAACTCTCAGGTTACATCAGGAACCACTTAAGAAATGCATACCTCATGTTATTCTTGTAACTGGCTATCACAACTTTCTGTTTTATATTTTATAATTTGAAATAAAAGATTGGTAATTCACATTACTTGGTTTTAAGAATATATATTTTTTGTTGACTCAATTTTCCCAATTGCAAATTTATTTATAGCCAAATGCTTCTGTATCCAAGAAGTACTGCCCATAATCAGATTAGATAATGATCAAAATTAAACCCTAACAGGGATACCTGGCAAGAGAAAATCAGTTACATAACCAATTTTAAAAAGGGTAGTTTGAATGGTGAGATGGTTGGGAATATGAAATTAATTCTATCACAAATATCTCATAATAATTTAGTATTCTTTGGCAGAAAGACGGTTATAAAAATTGTCAGGATTAAAAAATAAAATAAAGTGTAGATACATACCCAGAGCAAGATTCAGGTAAACATTTGAGTCCTTTGGTGCCCTCTAGAGACAGATATTGGCTATCTAATAGGACTTCCTATGATCTCACATGTTTACCAAAATGCAAAACACTGAAATAAATATTATAAAATAAAATTACTAAATTCAGTTGTTTCCATTTAAAGCTTAAATTTACTAACATCTACTACTTATGAGTTTTCAATGATTCAGTAATCTAATGGTTAGAATTCCAAAGGTAGATTATGTTCTTCAGCAAAGCGAAAATAAATGCAGAACTAAAGACCCTGTATTTCTAAACTACTTCACATTTTGCAAAGGCTTTCACAAACCTTTTGTCAGTTGAGCCTCATGGTAAGTTTAGGAGGAACAATGGGAGATTTTGTTGCTATTCCCATTTTACAAGTAAGGAAACTGAGGCTTGACCAAGGATAAGGGGATCTTGTCCCACGTGTGACTTAAAACTGAGAGGAGGGATTTGAATTTGGATCTTCTGCCTCTGAAGTCCATGGTCTTAGGTAACATTATATATTTTTTTCTCTTAGTGTAATATCCCTTCCCCACTCTTCATGCCCATATATATACTATTTTTATCCGTCTGAAATTTTCTAGAGTATCTTAGAGTAAGAACAGAAAGGAGTTACCCACAATGGGCTAGAATCCTGGAGGCACTACCCATCCTTCCCCCTCCCTCCCCCCAATGCTCATAATGACTTAATGGGACTAAAAACAGCCCTGTGGCAGTTACAGAGCAGGAGGTTCCCTGTATGTACTCCCATCTCCCTGTATGTCAACTAAACCCCCACTTCTCTGATTTGATAAAATATTGCACTTTGATTTTATGTGGATTAATGCAGTAATAAACTGAAGAGTTTTTAACTGTACGAGTAGTAGTCAGTAAGGTGGAACCACCAGTGTGTCTACTGCTGGAGACTGCTGTCAGATGTGGGTGTGGGTTTCTCTGACGCCGCTGTCTCAGGGACCATCTGTCCTCTCTGCTGAGGCGAGGGGTTCAATATTGCTTTCAACCTCTCTCAAGTCTGAGCATCTCTTTCCATGTTGCTTTTTATGCCTCAAAAGGACTTTTGTCCTTCTATCTACAGCAGGCAATCTCCTTCCTCCTAGAAAGTCACTTTTTCTACCTGGTCTGCTTAGAATATGTGCAAATGATTTACATCCTTCCAGTCAACTTTGGAAGCAACTGATTCTATTCTGCAGGAAAACGTCACCAACCCTAAGCTTACAGACATCTACTCTGTCATACTGCACACACACACACAGCTAAAATCAGACATGATCCTGTCCAGTGACAGGTGGCAGCCGGGTCACAGACCTAGGTCTCAGCTTGAGTCACACGACTTAGGGCACACTGCCCATGCTCTGTGAGAGTCAATTTACGCATTCAAAAAATGAGCGTTGTACATTACAGAGTAGTTGTAAAGACTAAATGAAAAATGTCATACTTTATTAACATACAATTATAAGGCATTATTAGCATTATCCATAAATTCAAATCAAGCTTTTTGGAAGCTCTCTTGAGAAATATTAGAAAAGATACATTACTGCCAAGTTGCACAATCCTAAAAAGGGATCATTTCCCTTGTATTCCACATAAATGACTGGTAAAATGATGTGTCTTCTCAGTTCTTAACACCAGATAGCCTCTTGACTGAGTTAATAGTCCAAAGAATAAGCAACTTGTGGAATTAAACACTTGTAAATCAAAGGCACATCACCTATAATGAGCAATGCTAATGAAAGCATCAACTCTCTTATTTATAAAGAAAGGCTGACTCAATGAGCCTTGCCAATATTAAAAATCTAAGCTAGAGGCTTTAGCAAATTATGTCCCATACACCAAATCCAGTCTGCCACCGAATTCTGCAAATATGATTTTATTGGAATATTACAGTTTATATTTGTTTATATATTATTGTCTATGGCTAAGTTGAGAAGACCATATGGCCTGTGAAACACTAAATATTATTATCTGGCCCTTTCCAGAAAAAGTTTGCCATCCCTGCTCTAAATACAAAATGAAGCATATTTTATACTCGAAAAAGTAAGCCGAATATATACTTACATAGCTACATACAGACTCTTTAGAAAACATATTTACATCATCATTTTGCATTAAAATACCTACAAGTTCTACATATTACTATGTAAGATGTCTACTACTGCACAATGCATGTGTGGACAGTTAATGAACGTTATTGATGAAAATAATGATTAAAGAGGAACAGGGCGTAATGTACTAGTTACAAGCTAGAGCGCGTAAGGAAATGTGTTTCGGCATTGTTTGGATAGGGGAGCTTTTTTTATTTCAGTGCTTTGCATGTTTGTTCAAATTGACAGTCTCTACCAAGACTGCAAACCACCTTCTTGTAAAGCAAACCCTTAAAGTAAGGAGAGAATTACAGAACACTGCACATTTTTGGATGTAGTATCTTTTCAGACAATAGCAACAACTACTGGATTTTAGTAATACCCACTTTTTACTTTACTTTTTAGGTTGCTGGCTAAAGCCTTATATATTTATTTATGAAAAAGCAATATAAAAATATGCTCCCCAAACATCTGTGTTTCTGCTAAATTTCAAGTATCTAAGAGTCAGTTAAATTATGTCCAGTTCAGATCTGACAGAACAAACATTACTGATACATAATGGCAGGAAAAGTAAAATCAGCAACAGTAGCAGAAAATCCAGCTTACAAAAAAGAAGACTAAAGGAAAATTTATAAAGGAACATGCCTTATGAAAGGAATACATTTCTGTGTTCACCCAGGGCTTACTCAGAGGAGATATGATGCCGTAATTATAGAAGTGGGAGAAACTGATCTCAATAGCTGGAGGAAAATACTTACTTGCTTTACATTTTCAGCTAAGAAGACAATATAAACACTACAGAATCCCAGCTGTGTTATCACCAGAAAAAAGTCAACCACACTCCTGAAAAGAGATACCCACAAATAAGATCACTAAGAGCAGCTGATATTCTCAGTATTTTTTCTCTTGTTAAACTATTTTTTTTTTAAAGATTTTATTTTTATTTATTTGAGAGAGACAGTGAGAGAGAGCATGAGCAAGGAGAAGGTCAGAGAGAGAAGCAGACTCCCCGTGGAGCTGGGAGCCCGATGCGGGACTCGATCCTGGGACTCCGGGATCATGACCTGAGCCGAAGGCAGCTGTCCAACCAACTGAGCCACCCAGGCGTCCCTCTTGTTAAACTATTTTAAAACATTTTGTTATAGCTTACATTCTTTTCACTTCCTTCAAATAAGAAATAAACAAAATATGTATTTTCTACAAACGGCACACATTTATGATTGGTAGGTCACTAGAATTATTACTGAGCAAAAAGATGTTCCATTAAGTTAAAAGGTGAAAATTTTGCCCATCATTTATTTCTGAAATTCAACAGTCTGAGTATCTGCTTATAAAACAGTATGAAGAAAACATCTCATATTTTATATTAGGCCCGTCTCTCCTACTTCTTGAGAACTTTTCCTGATTAACCCAGGGTACCTTCCGGCCCTCCCAGCTTCTTGTCATTTGCAAGTATGATGAGTGAGCATGCTCTCCATTATCCAAATCACTAATAAGAACATGGAATGGGAGAGGACTGGGGGCATGGCCCTAAATCATAAGACCAAAGACCCTTCCAGTAGCTTAGCTCTGTTCTTATTGTTTAATGAGATACTTAAGAAAATTCTAGCTACACGAAATAGTGCACAGTAATGGAAAGGGGATGTCACCAGTCAAATTAGCATAGTTTGGGTATGGTAGTTAATCAAGTTCTAAATCTGCATACATGGTATTAATACGCAATCCATATTTCTCTACTTTGTTTGGAGAACGATGAGTGATTACAACAGCATGTACCTACTAATTCATTATAGTTTTTAATCTGACCATGGATGTCGAGTTGTCAAACAACCTGGTCTACAGATCTACACCCCTTCCTTCTCTCATCTGAAACCGGAAGGGCCCTTGCCTATCTTCACTCTTGTCATAACTACAGCTCTCATAGTTCTTCAGGGATCTCCCTTGTAAATAATCTTGATACCATATAACAAATTCAAGTCTCTTTTCTCTGATGAGCTCCATTTAAGTATTCCCTTAAGATCTTTTCATCCACCTTGGATTTTAGTATCCTACTAACAATCATTCCAGCCACATCTACTTGGAAAGTGATTCTTCTTGATAGAAAACATAGACAAAGATGCATCTACTCTGGGGCAGAAGAAGGAAGAAGATAGGGTTCTGGGGCAAATCCTAGAGCATTAGGCCGTCTTCTTCTTCTTCTACTTGGCATATCAAGAACTCTGAGCAGCTCATAAACAAATCTCACTTTCTACAAATTCCCAGAAAGGCCATATTGAACCATAAAATCTCCTAGCACTGTTTTGTTTTGTTTTTTTTTTCCTGCTCTTAATTTCCCTTACACATATCACTGGTACTACAGTGGGCATTTTGTTGATTACCCATGCTTATTTTCCCAGTCCTGTATTCATCTGGCTTTGATCAGTCATGTATACCAATGATAAAGTTACATTTAAACAATAAGACAGTAAAATTAAGATTATGCTAAAATACACACTTCATATATAAGCATGTAGCTAAATACCACAATTTTATCTAAAATATGAGACTGTAACATTTTTCTTGCTTTTGCTCCTTTCCTTAAAAACATATTAGCACGATTATATCATAGGTTAGCCAGATACTTTATAAATGTCATTTTATTTAAACTACTATAGTAATCCTGTGAAGTAAGTATCCCGTAAACTCATCTGATGGTGGGAAAATTAAAATAAAATGACAAATCATTTGATTCAGGTCATAAAACTGAAAAATGGTAGAGTTGAGATTTGAACCCAAGTCTGTATAACTCTAAAGATTATGTTTATTCCCCCCGCTTTATCATACTTCTATTCATGTATCTTGCCAAATTAAAATACTTTAAAAATAACGTGATTTCTGTAAGCAGATATTAACGACATAGCAAGTGCTTACCGTCCCCATGCTGCTTGCTTCTGAAGACAGCTCCAAGGACTTACTTCCATAGCAAAACTCACAGTGTCACTATAACCTAATGTTGACTTTTTGAACCTGTAATTTAAGGACATATGTGCATATGAAAAAGGAAAATTTGAAGTTGGCCTATAAATCCAACCCTTGAAAAGAACATCAAATAAATAGGAATTAATAAATGCAAGGCCATGCACTGACAGAGAGTTTTCGAAATTTCAAGAACTGCATACTCAAAGATATGTATCATGAAATTTTAAATCTGTTATTTTTAACCAATATATTAGTTTTTATCTACTGTTAAAGTTTACATATTTGTAGAAGTCATATAATGTAATATTTGTGCTTCACTGACTTAAATATGTAAGTATTTCAATTACAAAGAGCATCAACTACATTATTCACTGCCTAATTATTTATTCTTAGAAGGGCATTATTTTATACATCAGCACAGGGTTTTACAATTTATTTACATATAAACTATCTTACCTAATACTCAGCCCATGAGATAGGCATTATTTCCCCTTGTTCTCTTCCCCACCTTTTTTTTAGGTATCATTGTTATTTAAAGATCATAAATGACTTGCCCAAAGTTTTAAGAACATTTAACAACAATAACAAAAAGAGTTAAGGTTAGAATATTAGTTTACTAGAATAGGCAATACTTAGTTTTTAAATAGTCCAATTGTGCAAGTAGAAACATTTCATGATACAGAAACAAAGAAAAAAGAATATAATTTTACTGACTATTTGCCAACCCACAGATCAGCAAAGAACACCAAAGGCACCATACCCTAAAATGAATTCCTACCAAATGGAAGACCATCACTCTATAATTGAAAGTAGTGCTGGGGCCTCCATGTCGATCCTGATTTTTTTTAATTTACATGGAAAGAAACCATCCCATTTCACTAAACAGGGCTGTATTCTAAAAGAAGTGAATCTATTCTGACCATATTTCAATCACAGGAAATACTATCTTTTTCCATATTCATTATTTTAGACTTGACTACATAACAGATTAGAGGAAATATGATTGTTAGTTGCAAAGCACAGTTAAGACTAGCTGATGCTTTAAATAAATACATTGCTTTAACGGAAACAGAGCACACTTAACAAATCCTCATTTACCTCTGACACAGAAAGTGACTGCAGCGTACCAAAATGTGCATGCAGTGAACCGAAATAATTCCTATAAATACAAGGCTGATTGGTCCAAGCTGTGGGGGGAAAAAATGTATAGGATTAAATATTTAAGTTTAACAAAAATTAAGCTGTCTTACTGTGAATGAGACAACGGACTACTCATTTGTGTGATTCAATTTTGCTGGACAAAATGATTAGTCATTTGCATACAGGAAAATTCATAAACTTGATACTGAACGAATTTCAGCAATACTTAAGACAAGTGCGTATGACTCCATCTCCACGGCTTGCTAAGCCGACACTATGAGCACAGACGATAGCCATGCAGTAAGGTAGGACAGACCTCACCTCCAGTAACATCAGATGGTAAGCCTATGACCATCAGTGTCCCATCGCAAAAATTAAATGTGACGATGAATCATTATCTGAATGACTAAAAACTGCTGTACCCATCTGGGGCTGTGCTTGTTGAGCACTTGCTATGTGTGAAGAAGAAAAAGTGGTATATAAAAAATTTCAAGTATTTGTTTACATTGTTTACAAATTAAACATTTGTTTAATATTGAAGTAATTTAATATTGAAGTAATGCCTGGATTATTGTTTATATAACATTTATTTAATATTGCCTGGATTATTGCAACCCAGACAAAATACGGTCAAAATTTATTTTTGTAATCAGAAATAGTTTAAGTTTCTCTAAATTAGGGTGGCCAAGCAAATGCAGAGAGAGAGGATAGTTAAAACTGTTCTTAGCAAACTGGTAAGGTTTTAGACCTCTAATAAAAGGTTAAGTAAGGACACCTGGGTGGCTCAGTCAGGCCTCTGCCTTCAACTGAGGTCATGATCTCAGGGTCCTGGGATCCAGCCCCACGTCGGCTCCCTGCTCAGCAGTCTGCTTTTCCCTCTCTTCTGCCTCTCCCTCCACTCATGCTCTCTCTCTCGCTCTCTCTCAAATAAATAAAATCTTAAAAAAAATAAAAAAGACTAAATATAATTTCATTAGTTCATAAGGCAATTCTCCCTAAGATTCTCTGCAATTACAGTAACTGGTTCTAACAACACTTCGCACATTCGTTTTCAAACAATAGTGTTATCCCTTTTCTTTACTAATATTCTTTAAATCTAAAAACCGCATATTTTATTCTGAATCCAAAAAACCATAAAATTTCACCAACTCAAATAATCTACTCTATAAATATATTTGTTGATATGAGTACATGGCTTACACCCCCAGAAATCCAAAAAAGTTATAAGATATAACCATACTTGGAAAAAGTTAATACTATTTTAGGCTCTTTCTGCCAAACACTATGAAGTATTTGAAAGTTAAGTGATTAAACAAAAAGTTAAGTAGTTAAACAGAAATGAAAAGAGTAATTAATTCTCATTTTTGCTAAATGTTACTATCACTGTTTACACAATCTTATCAGTACAATCTCATTGTTACCTGGTCAGGTCATATGTGACTAGGCCAGCGGTTAGCTTGTCATTTTTGCTGTAATTAAGAGAGATAACTGTAAGTTAGATAGAGTTCACAAAGATAAATCTTACCACTACGCCTGCATTTTTTATTGCCAGTGGAAGCCCTAACAGGCCCGTTCCAATATTTCCTTTAAGCAGATGCATAAGAGTTTGCACAAATCTGAAAAGTAAACATTGTAAGATTTTAGGAAAAAAGCTAATAAAATCACATGATCACAGTTTTAGCATTAGAAAGGAACTGAAAATCAATCTCGGCAAGGAATCAAATAACATTTCCACTCAACCAGATGAGTTGAATAGGCCAGAGGTCATATGGGTTCACGTGCTACCTCTGCCATTCACAAAAGGAGACACAGAGGCTTATTATGGAGAGTAAATGAGCTATTTAAGTGATACTATTTTTGTACATACTAAAGAAATACAGAAAAGGTAATTTTCTCATAAGATGCCTGGCTGCTATGACATTCAGAATCATGTTGAAGATTATATATGGCTAGGCTATTAAAACAGAGCAATTTATTGACACTGTCTATGAAACACAGTACTAAACACATTTGATCTATGATTATCAACTTAACAGCAAGTTAACTAAAAGAAAAAGCACACAAGTCTTAAAACTATGTGTATCATCAGGTAAGATAAATACTGATTAACATTTAGACATCATGTACTCCCTAAGGAATTCCACCTAAGTTTCCAAGAGGCATCTGAAGGAAGTCTCTTAACCAAGAAAAAATAAGTTCAACTAGGAAGAATAGTGCAAATCTTAAACTCAGGAAATAAACATGCTTGCCTAAATTTTTTTCAGTTTATACTATTTTGATCAACTAAGTAACTTTGCTTAACTGTCAGAGTAAGAACTTACTCAAATCTATTAATGATGACAAAGTAACAAAAACAGTTCTACAAGGTTCCACTGCCTTCCCACCACCATGACTTTGTTTTATACCATTCACTCAGCATGAAGAAGTGTTTACTACCTCTCACTGTCTAACTCCTAACCATTTCGAAGCCACAGCTCGTAAAATTTCTATTCCTTTCAATCAGGTCTCCCTTCTTGCAAGATCCAAAGCATGGGACCATCACTGCAGCAATTTCCATGTGCTGCTCTGTATTTTAGATGCATTTCTTCGTTCCCAAATGTACTACAAATACCTTGAGGGTAGGGACAATATCTTACTCATCTGTGTGTCTTGTGTAGTACCTGTGCTTTACCGACAGAAGATTAAAAATATATATACTAAATGAAAAGGAGACACTGAACCCCGTAACACTTACGAAATACCCTCCTGGTCATCAAGCTGGTAGTGCTTCTGAACAGGAAGGAGCTCTTGTTCCTGCTCTTCATCTGATGTCCCATCAAAATTCTGCTCATTTATTAAGGGCCTCATTACATCCATATCTTCAAAAAGAAAAACAAAGTACTTCACTATGATTTTTAACACTGAGTTCAAGCTGGTATAAATGCATTTTTTTAAAAGAAGGGCCTACCACTGGTACTTAAGTTAATTCACTTAATTTTTCCAGTCTAAGTTAATTCCCATTAATGCTTTGAGTTTTAGTATATTTAAAAAACGAGATTCATTTGCTGATTATTTTGTTTGGACAAAGCAGGGCAAAGCTTAAGTATTCAATGCAAATCTTATTCTGCTTTGTCAACATGAGGTTTTTAGCAAATGATCACAGAGTTATGAGATTAAAAAATGTGAATAATCAGGGCACCCAGGTGGCTCAGCTGGTTAAGTATCTGTCTTTGGTGGGTGTCATGATCCCAGGGTCCTGAGATCAAGCCCCTCATCAGCCTCCTTGCTCAGCGAGGAGCCTGCTTCTCCCTCTCCCTCTTCCAGTCACTCTCCCTGCTTGTGCCCACTCTCTTTCAAATAAATCAATATAATCTTTTTTAAAAGTTTGAATAATCAAATGAATTTTTTCCTCTTTCAGTTTCAATCATACTGTATACAGAAATAGTAATCATGTTTTTAAATACTTTAAGAAAATTACAGTGAGGATGAGAGGAGGGGCAGAGAGAGAGGGAAAGAGAGAATCTTAAGCAGGCTCCACAGGAGCCCAACATGGGACTTGAGCTCACAACCCTGAGATCATGACATGAGCTGAAATCAAGAGTCAGATGCTTAACCAACCTAGCCATCCAGGCACCCCCACGCCCCCGTCAAAATGTATTCTCATTTTTAGCAAGATTTATGATGACATTAGTCATCACTGTTTGCCTTGTTCTAGTAAAATTCACTAAACTCAAATTTATTGAGATGACTAATATGCATTAGCAAGGTTTGAAGTATAGGATATTTTAAAGAAGTGGAAGACTGTTCCATTCAAATACAATAAACCTGTGAACCAGACAATTGGGGTAACTATGACTGACTGACACATAATTTTTAAAAACTTTTTATTTTGCAATAATTTAAAATTCACATTAAATTTCCAAGAGTACCAAAAAACTCCTATACACCCTTTACAGACTTACCGATTTTTAACATTCTGCCATGTTTGCCTTTTCTTTCTCAACTGTGTATCACTTTTTCTGAACTATCTGAGTAGGTTACACATATAACACCACTTTACCCCACAGTCAGCACGTGCGTTCTCTCTAAGAACAAGAAGTTCTTGAATGTTCACATCACAGCCAACACTCAGTTTGATGTTGATGCAGTATGTTCACCTACATTCCGTATTCTAACTTCATCAATTGTACCAACGAAGTTCTCTCAGCAATTGTTTTCACCGCAGGATCTTGTATTGGATTTAGATGACTAATTCTACTGGTGACTTTTGCCATTATGTCTTTTATGATGTCCTTAATCCTCCTCTTTTTCCCTCCTTAATCTTTTACTATCCTTGTCAGGTTTGTCAGACAGCCTCTGGGGGTACCGGGTGGCTCAGTTGGTTAAGTGTCCAACTCTTGATTCCAGCTCAGGTCTTGATCTCAGGGTCACAGATCAAGCCCCACGCTGGGCTCCATACTCAGCAGGGAGTCTGTTTTGAGATTGAGATTCCTTCCCTTTCCCTCGGCCCCTCCCCCCCGCCCCGCCCCACAAAACAAAATAAATAAATCTTTCTAAAAAATGGTATCCTCTGAATTCTACCTATTACCTATACAATAATTAATGGTCTTATTCTACTTTTGTCATTTATTTATTTATTTCCCAGAAAACCACACTGCTCCCCCCACCCCCAGATATGCCCTTCTTCTATTCTCTCACTTCTGTGAAAGAATAACAACTTTTGTTGTTGTGTTCTTTCTATTTTGGCGACATATATGATGCTTTACACACTGCTACTCCAATCATGTCCCCACCCATGTCTTAGATTTACATCTACCATCAGTATATTAAATGCTTGTTATCAGTCCTCTGTCAAAGTGTTCTCAGTCATTCTTTGGCTGGAAGAAGCTCATTCTCTTGTGGACTGTGCCTCACAATGACCTGAAGGATTTGATGAAATACAAACTGATGTACCTCACCCCGAAGCCTCTGATTCGGCAGGCCTGTGGGGTGCCTGAGAAGATGCATTTCTAAGTTCCCGGGTGATTCTGATGTTGCTGGTCTGGGAACCACACCTTGAGAACCACTGCGCTAGTAGATCCTTGAAGATGGGCTTGCGGGCACAGCATTCCCTAAGTTCTGGAACGCTTTAAACTGATTTTCTATAGCCTTGCTATGATGGACAGCTAGATATAACACCTTTGACTCACACTCTCTATCCTTGAGTTTCTTGAAAATGCTGTTCCACTCTTGCCTTGCTGTCTAAGCTACTCTTGAGCAGTCTAATGCCAAACCAATTTTTTAGCCATTACATACTGTGTTCTTTGCTTGAGATCCTGAGGAATTTCTCTTTGACTTTAAGATCTAATGGTTTTACCATGATACGTCCTGGGCTTAAGCATTCCTAGTCAATTTTCCCAGGGATCTGTGGGCCTTTTTAATATATAGATTTAGGTTTTCTCTTATTTCTAGAAATTTTTCTTGGATTATGGCTTTGACTATTTATTTAGTTCAAGTATTTTGTTTTTCTTCTTTAGAGCTTCCAAATATATGTCAGATCTCCTCTGCCCACCTTCCACTTCAACCACTTTCTCTCTGACCCTTGTAAAGTCTTCCTTTACCTCATTTAAATTCTCCTTCGAAATTAAAAGAATCTTATTAAACTTTCATTTCAATACATTTTCCCTTGGACACCTTGTACTTTATTATTTATTTATGATGTTGCCTACCACTAGACAGTTCATGGACAGGGATCCTAATTTGAGAGTAGTGCCTTCCATCGGCATAGGAATGACGTTGACTTACTGGGGTTACAGGGAGCAACTGGTGTATCTCTAGTTCTCTTCATTTCTGCAGGATATTCAATTCCCTACCCACCCTCCACCCCCTGCCCCTTACTTCCTTCTTTCTTTTCACCTCCATGTATTAGAGGGACATCTCAACTGCTCCTTTTATCTCCTCCTCCAGAAGCAATGTTTTGCAGAGGCTGCTGTGTGACTACACGTCCTAATGCCCTCTCTTCTATTCCAGAGATTCTAAACAACTCTCTTTAAAGAGTCCTTGCAGCAGCAGCAGGAATTCTGAAATTTGCTATTTTTTTTTCTACTTATAATGTGAGGTTTGTGGTAGCTTTGTCTCCTACTAATGCTAAAAGAACAACTTCATGAATGGTTTACTTGTGCTTCTTTTTGAATTAACAGGTTCTGGGGGAAGGACACGTGAAGAAATTAGGATTTAGGTAGCCTCCATTATCCCAGTACTAACTGGAACACATGACAGCGTTTTTTCATAAAAGTAATGTTATTCTTTGAGATACTGGAAGATGCTTTAGCTTTGTATTATATATTTTTGTAATGCATTTTGAAATCAGGAAGTATGATCAGCTTTGCTCTTCATTGTCGAGATTGTTTTGAGTATTTGGGGTCTTTTGTAATCAAAACAGTATCACACTGGCATAAAGATAGACATACAGACCAATGAAGCAGCACAGAGAGCCCAGAAATCAATCTATGCATATATGGCCAACTGATCTTTGACAAGGGTGCCAGGAATGCACAACTGAAAAAAGTCTCCTCAACAAATGGTCCTAGGAAAACTGAATATCCACATGCACAAGAATGAAAGTGGATATTTATCTCACACCATACATAAAAATCAACTCAAAATGTATTAAAGACTTGGATACTTGAGAAAGCTTCAGATGTTGGTTTTGGCAATGATTTCATGGATAGGACACCAAAAGCACAGGCAACAAAAGCAAAAACAGGCAAGTGGGACTACATTAAACTAAAAAGCTTCTGCACACCAAAGAAAACAATCAACATAGTGAAAAGCCAACCTACAGAATGGAAGAGAATATTTGCAAACTATATTACTTGATAAAGGGTTAATTTCTAAAATATATATGAAACTCCTACAACCCAAGAGCAAAGAAAAAAAAAACCTAGAGAACCAATTAATAAATTATCTAAAGATTTGAACTGGTATTTCTCCAAAGAAGACATACAAATACTCAACAGGTTTATGAAAAGATGTTCAATTTCACTAATCATCAAGGAAATGCAAATTAAAACCACAATAAAATACCACTTCATACTTAGGGTGGTCATTGTAAAAAAAACAGAGGCCAACAAGTACTGGTGAGCAAGTGGCAAAATAGGAACGCTTGCACACAGGTAGTGGGAATGCAAAATATTGTGGCTGTGAAGGAAAACAGTACAGAGATTCCTCAAAAATCTAAAAACAGAAGAACCATATGACCCGCAGTCCCACTTCTGACGATTCATCCAAAACTACTGAAATCAGGGTCTTGAAGAGAGGCTAGTACTTCCATGCTTAGTTTAGTGCTAGTCACAAGGCCCAGCACGTAGAAACAATGGGCACTGACAGATAAATGGATAAAGAAAGTAGATGTCTACTTACAGTGGAATATTATATAGTCTTCAAAAAGAAATTCTGCAATATGCAACAACATGGATGAACCTTAAAGACATTAGGCTAAATGAAACAGTCTAGTCACAGAAGTTCAAATACCATGATTCCACCTATATGAGGATCTAAAATAGTCAAACTCATAGAAGCAAAGACTAGTGTGGTGGTTGCCAGTGGGGAAGGGACAACAGGGAGCTGCTAATCAACATGTGTAAAATTTCAGGCATGCAAGGTGAGTAAATTCTAGAGATCGGACAGACAACATTGTGCCTATGGATGACAATATGGTACTGTACACTTAATATCTGTTAAGAGGCCTAGATCTCATGTTAAGTGTTCATACTACAATTTAAAAAATAAACCACTGGGGAAAAAAATGCTTGAAAATAGTCTATTCTGAAGTCATTTAAATATTCTTCCTCTAGGGTCACCCAGATGGCTCAGTCGGTTAAGCATATGACTCTTAA